GTTCACTTCTGATTACTGTACCGCCAACTGTACAACAAACTATCGTTTTCATAGCATTCGTTCATGTGTGTGTCTGTGTCACGTTTCACACCTTGGTGACATGAGTGGGACTGAGCCTGGGCAAACAGTGATACACAGTGATGTCTGCTTGTCTCCTTTAAAAACAGCCTCTGCAGACACTGTGGCTGTTTCTCAATATGCGTTCTTGTCTGAACTTGCGTTCTTGTGTCCTCATGAAACGTCATCAACCTTTGCTAAAGTACTGTTCCAATTCAAAGTTCACTTTTTATTCTCATTTTATTGTTAACGTACAGTGAAACTGATGAATCCATGGTGAGATAAGTGATGTTATGAAGTACACTGCTGTTCCATTTGAAAAAGTACCCGACTTGTGTCCTCGCGTCCTCGGGAGTTCGTTCTTCCAAGTCTGAACTTCCAAGGACGCAAGTCTGAACTTTGCGTACTTGGTATTGAGAAACAGCCTGTGTGATGTTGTAGGAAGCAAATCTTGAGGTAACAAGTAGAGGGTATGTGGAATGAATGACTAATAAAGGGAAAACAAGACAGGGAAGCATATGGCACAAAGAGAAAAACAAAGCCATGTGCTCACATCAAATAGGCTGAGAACATACAGCCAATGAGAACACATTAACTATGTGCACACACAGAGCAAAACAAGAAAACAAAAACTCATGCTACAAAATACACAAATGACAACACAAGACTTTAGACTGAACAAGAGAGAGAAGTGCCCAGTTAGTGAGTGAACACCCAACCATCCACTCACAAGTTTGACATGGATGTCTGAGTCCCAGGGCCAAATCAAAACCAGGATTGATAGAAGTATCTCATGGTTGAACAGCAGGCCATGCACAAATAAACAAGTGAGTGTGCCCACAACAAGACACAACAACAAGTGAGAGAGAACATGACTTGAGCTTGCCACAACCACACACTCACTACGAAAATATATAGACATGAGACAGTATGGCCTAAGAGAATGCAAACTTCACACTTCAAAAGAGACAAGACAGGCACAGTGTCTTTCCCAAAACAAGATTAAAATGACAGAGCCATGACAGTATCAGAAACAGAATATCAACCAGAGAGTGCCTGAGGTAGTCCAAAGAAAATAGTACATCTTGCAGTTAACTTGCAACTTGCAGACAAATGGGCAAGATTGATTCGTTTTAATGGAGTTTGACTGTTTTTTTTAAATACTTTCACAATCCAGGAGTCAAATATTCTGCTAATTTGGAGCAATCACCGGACATAGATTCGACAAACAGTGTTGTTGTTTTGAACATCAGAATATTCTCTCAAGCACAATAGCAGGCCTATAACAATTGTTTCTACAATACCTGTCTCTGCCATTGTTTTGTAAATGTTAAGCTTTATTTCAATTTCAGAAAACCATTATCAACTTTAGAAAACAGTAATTTTGCTAAATGATTGGTCAATGTCACAGAAACAGTCCCTGCGATTGCTACTTTTCACCACAAGAGGGTTTCATCACACGAGTTTTGACATTCACAATCTGGACTTCCTCATGCCCCTGTACCTAGCAGAGATGGCAAAAGTACACACATCCTTTACTTAAGTAGAAGTAAGTACAGATACTCGCATTTAAAACGACTCTGGTAAAAGTAAAAGTACTGACTACACATTTGTACTTAAGCAAAAGTAAAAAGTAGTAATTTGAAACAGTCCAAAGACGTGGTATAGGTGAATAATAGGTAACTAAATTGGCAGTAGTGTATAAGTGTGTGTGTGAATGTAAGTGTGTAGGGGTGTTTCCCAGTACTGGGTTGCAGCTGGAAGGGTATCCGCTGTGTAAAACAAATGCTGGAATAATTGGCGGTTCATTCTGCTGTGATAACCCCTGATAAATCAGGGACGAAGCTGAAGGATAGTGAGTGAGATAGGTAGGTAACTATTCCTCACATCCTATTGATACAAAATAACTGACTCCAGTTTTATGTAAAATGTTTTTTGCCAAATTTATGAAAGTAGCCAAGCAGCATCAAACTCTGCAATATAGCCTCACAAAATTGTTTAAAAAGGCGGCCCATGTATCATCATTCTGACGCAAACTCAGCGTTCAGCATGTAGTTTTTCGGCTGTTAGATCAAAAACATCAGCTGCCAGTCATGTTGATTCACTCTAAAAAATATTCTTTAGGCCGGTCTATCTTTATAAATAATGTCTTACATTTTACACTGAATTCTGTCTAAAATATATAGATTTTTTTTTTCTCTTTTGGTAAAACAACTTCTTATCTAAGTTAACTGCAGACTTTTTTTTTTTGCACTTGGTTAAAGCTGCTTATTTCTTCAAAGAGCAGCTCTTATACATAACCCAGAAATAAAGCAAATTAACCGCAATGCATAATTTTTTTTTATAAAACATTTGATTGTTTTGTTACTAAATGTAAAAATCTTTACAAATAAAAGCACAATTATTTGCTGTATTAGATTGAAAGCCCGTGCAGTAATGATCAAAAGTGGGCAAAAAGCTTAAGCATGTAAACACCCTCTTGTTTACCTGTGATCTGATCGAGTAAAAGGTGTATTATTACTCTGTAAATTACTCTGTAAATGTCTTTGCTGACTCTCTCTCTTAGTCATTCCAGCCTTTCTTATAGTAATCTTTATAAATTAGCCCACATACGGTGTGCGATAGCCACGCACTAGCATCCAGGCGCAAAATGAGGAAAAATAGACTGCTTGCTTTAAAAAGGTGCTGTTAATAAGAAATAATAAAGATTGCGCGACCAAACACATAAAAACGAAAGTAACAAAAATGGTTTTGAAAATGTAAGGAGTAGAAAGTACAGATAATTGTGTAAAATTGTAAGAAGTAAAAGTAAAAAGTTGTCAAAAAAATAAGTAGTGGAGTAAAGTACTGATACCAGAAAAATGTACTTAAGTACAGTAACAAAGTATTTGTTCTACGTTACTTCCCATCTCTGGTACCTAGCCCACTGTAAAACCTAATAAGTTAAGGTAACTCAAACCATTTGACGAAGCCGATTGCAACAAATCATTTAAGTTCTAAAACTAATTCTAATGAGTACTGTCAACTTAATCCATTTGAGTAAATAAAGCAGTTCGAGCACAGTAAAACCCAATAAATGAAGAGAACTCAAACCAACTGAGTATTGTAACCCAATAAGTTAAGGCAACTCAAACAGTTTAAGAAAACCAATTTCTACAAACCATTTGAGTTAAAAAACTAATCTATATGTATACTGTGAACTTACTTCATTTAAGTTAAAGTAATCATGTGTTTAGTTAACCCATTACCTTCAACACTGAGTTCAGAACTCTTTTCAGATTCAATACATTTTGAGTTGACTACACTCATTTCATTTGAACATGCTAATTGTTGGGTTTTACATAGCAATTTTAGTTAATTCCTCTTCAAAATTATTCTTTGTCCCATTCATTTGTCCCAAGGGTTATTTACAGTATGTACAGCAGTAATACACCACATCGATAAAAAGCGTCCACAGACCAGACAAGAATTTAACATACACAAAGACAAATAAAAACTGCAGCTAAAAAGAGGTTCACTAGGTAAATGTTTTAATAGTTTATAGATAAATAAACAGTGATTGCACACCTAACATGGACAGGGTGATATCTCCTTCTGTTGATAGTGTTCAATGCTTGATTGGCAAGTTGGGGAAAATAATTCTTGTACCTCTGTTTAAGAGTGCATGGAGTTCTAAAATGTAAGGCAGATGCTAACGATTGCTGCATCTACACTGCAGATCTTGATGGTCAATTCAGATTTTGTGACTGAATCTAAATTTATTTGACTTGCTTATAGTGTCCTTTTGTATCTGCAACTCATATCCGATATTTACATTTATTGTATATAACAAAACAACACTAAAGTAGATGCACTGGAACTGGAAAAGGAAGTGAAGAAACACTTGATAGTTACCGACTGTCATTAGAAAATGAATTGAAAATGGTACAAGATTCAACCTTATGCAAATGATGAAGCCGGGGTGATTGTACGATGCTTTGCTTTCCACAACACATTTAAAGGAGGGAAAAATAATGCTATCTTAAAAAAAGAGGAGAGTTGTTGCAGCTTCAGTGAAAGTTGCATTTATCACTACTACATCAATAGAGAGATGTGTGGAGACCCCAAAGGACTTGTGAGTGGTGGGATCAAATTCATGGAGTCTGGGGTCAGGAACAAGGTTTTTTTTTGACATGCTTAGTAAGTGACTGTCTCTTTTGACAACACTTGACAAAATTTTGCCTGGCTATATATGTGTAGAAATGCATTACAGTTGAAGTGTGGTGGCTTACAACTGTCACTGGTTATTGCACACTGGATCATATCTTTGACATAAGTGACGCGTCAGTGTGCCTTATTGACTGGAAGTTTTGCCAAGCATTGCTAGATGACATAATGTGCAACTACATCAAGCTGCCAGAAAGTAAGGAACTTCTAACAATTATTTTTGTATGTATTAAATAACCATTGGGATTTTTTTTTCAGTGTCAAGGGGCTATTGTCAGGAGCCATATTACCTGTCATCGAACCATTTAAAAACCACACAGACTATTTTAATTGTAAAGGGTGGCATTTGGCAATCTACAAACTGTTGACCACGAATTCTGATAGGACAGTTATATTTTTTTCTGCCTGGTTGTTGTCTCTTTCTCCACATAATAAAGTTATTACTTCATTTGATAAATTTGACTGTTGGGTTTTACAGTGTACGTCTTCAAGCCATAGAGATTTGGGACACCACCTCCCGTATGTAGATGCACAAAATGAGGGATAGGGGTAAAAAGAAGGGCTAAGAGGTAAAATTGGAATTGGGCTTAAGTATAGGCATTTTTTATGAAAAACAAACAAACAAACAACAATCTGAGGTTGGTCAAGAGTAACATGGCATAAAATACAGAACAGTCTCACTTGAAAAAAGGCACTGAAGAATGTAATCAGTTGCTTAATCTTTGTTTCATATGTGATGGTGTAGTGCAGCTGATTGATATGAGTAACCAAAATGTGATGGTGCTGTGCAGCTGATTGGCATTGACATCGGCCAATCGGCACGTAGCACCGCCTTTTTAAACCTGATTGGTTGGTGCTTGGGATACGTCACGTCCGACTCCGATGCACTGGTTTGGGTGTCTGTAGCCGCTGCTACAGGTAGAGGCTCTGCGCTCGTTCTAAATTTTTTGTAAGTTGTTTGATTCGACCCACGTTAATCTCTCTTTTGGCATTGTTCTAGTGCATCGTGTGGCGGTGGCTTTTCCCTTGGCTGTGGTGGCTGGATGACTGTTCAATTGCAGGTATGTGATGGCTTTTAACTGGCTGAGTAATGGGGTTTAGCTGCATTTAACCTGCGTGTTTCATGCCGTACAGCTATTAATTCCGGCAATTCGCTGTATTGTATCGACCAACGAGTGATTAGAACGTGTCTGAGTGTGCGCCCATTGGTAAGAGAAGCACGTATGATTTGATGTGATCATTTAAAGGACCATGTTAATGGGCTTGTTTGCGCTTTTCCTCCTTAAGATCCTCCTTTTTCCCTTTCTTTCTCCCCTTTCTCTTTTACGTCGGATCTTCCTCTGGTATCATTTGCCTACTAGCTCCCGTGTTCATCGCTATTGCTGTGGTTACCGTAGATCGTCTTCAACTGCTGATAATGCTAACGCCGGCATATTGGCTGCCGCTTGGACACCACCAATGCAGCTGTTAGCGTGCTGCTTTGTGCTCGCCTTCATTCTTTCATTTGTTTACTTGTGTTGGATAATTGATTTTGTTAACATTAGCAGTGTTCTGCTTTTTGTTGTGTCTTTAATTTATGCAAAGCATTGATTTTGTTTTCGTTATTAAGATTATTCTTTTGTGTGTTTATTAGTCTTATTTCGAGTTACCGTTAATGTTTGGGTTTAGTGTAGGTCAGATGGTGCAACTAAAGCTGTAGCTATCTTTCAATTAGATCATGTAAAGTAGGTGTTAACCTGATTGACCCACTTATTTGTGTTTTGTTGGTTATTTATTTTTATTTATTTCAGGAACTGAGGTTTCCCCCGGTGGATGACGGGTCACTTTCCACTGGTGGTGGTGTTTCTCTACCGTGTGCTGTGGGACACAGTGCGTGATAGCGTGATTTTTGAGTGCACTGTGGTGTGTGCGTGTGCTGGGGTAAAGTCTGTCCACTTGTACCCAGTCAGTGGGAACCTCCAATCCTGGTTTGGTTTTGTTTATTTTTTGTTTCTTGTGTTTAATAATGAAGTGGGAATTTTTGATGTGTTTTTAAGAACCGTACAATTTGACAGTTTTATTCCAAATAAATATTTTTGTACTTTTGCATTTTACCTTTCTGGGAGAAACGAACCTGTGTCCTTTTTCTAATAGTTGTTTCCCTGGGTAACTCCCGGGGTGGCGTAGTTGGTTATTTTTATTTAAAGAGATTTAAACCCTACTCTATACCCTCGTCACACATAGTTTGACATTTTGACTTTAAAACTTCAGCTTTACAAACACTTTTGTGCTGGATTGGATCAAAATGAATAAACCACCCCTCTCAGTTCAATAATCTTTAAAAACTGTTTTTTTTTTTTTTCTGGACACAAACTCCCACATTAAACTGAAGTGAAGATCTGTCAGCCAATCATGTCAAATACATAAACTGACTGGATGACAAAGTGTAACACGGAAAAAACTATCACCTTCAGTTTAATTTTAAGCAATTACCAAAAATTCATTAAAAACTAAGAGGTTTCACATTTTTCAGAGTAGTAAATGCACCCTTTTTTTGAACCCTTAACAAAATTTGTGCTCTTGAAATAGGATGGGGGTTCCAGACTTTAAGAAGCCCTGCTCTGTAAAATAAAATGATTAAAGTTTTACCCACCTTAAATTGTCCAGTTTCTTAAGTGCAAACATTTGTTGTTGGTCTCCCTTACACATACACCAGTATTCAGGTCAAAAACGTTGGTTATCAATCAAGGTGACTATATATTTGTAAGATGTTAGAATTCTGTCATGGCCCTTAAAGATACTGTGCTCGGGGCTTTGAAGATATATCTGATATCAATAGAATATTTTTTATGCTAACTTAGTAACAATAACAGAATTATCTGCAAGCTTAATGATGTGCCTGTTTTCATACTGGCTACAACAATCAACAAACAACATTGAAGGGAGCCAGTAGATGTTAACACACTGTTCACCCTAACCCTCTGACACCTTTAGGTTTTCACAACTAATAGGTCAAGACAAAAGACCTATCCTTGAGCAAGACTAACCTTGGCAAAAGGAACCACCACAGACTGTTTTCATAGAGATGTTGGGAGAGTGACATTAGAAATGTATAATAAAAACATTGGGCCTAGTTGCCCTAAACAGACTTTCAGTAGGCAACCACTAATAGAAACAAAACCGTGTTAAGCTGCTCATGTGTTTGCCACAAAACGCAAGTGGTGCTCGCTGCAGAGCCATTTGAGGAGAGCTAAGCTCCAGCGAGGGGGAGCTTAAGCTTGAGCTCCACCTTTTTTGCACTTCTTCTACGAGAGTTGTCACTGGGGGTAGGGTTAGGGGTGGGGTTGGTGTACGCATTAAAACAGCTTACAGGAGGAGGAGCGACAGGTCATGCTCCCCCTCGCTGGAGCTCAGCTCTCCTCAAATGGCTCTGCAGCGAGCACCCTCTCACAAAACATCCCTCGACCGCAGTTTATGTTTGACCCCCATGAACTTCAATCACTCCACAACACGAATTTACCGCGCTCACCACCAATGACAACAACACCTTTCACTCATCACTTCCGGTGTGTAGTACATTCTGCATCACTTCTGGTGTGTGCTACATTCCCTTTGCGTAAGGAATGTGTAATTGTAAATTTGTTTTAGAACTGGTAAAAGTGTTTTGTCGAATAAATTATTATTTTTTAAATGTACATTTGTTTCATCATTGGTAAAATCATTTTTCCTATGTAATTGTGTCTTATGAGAAGTAAAAATGTATATTTTCTTAAGCTTTGTAAAAGTGTTTCACACTTTGTAATGTTGTTTTGCACTTCCCGGCCACCGTAGGAAAGTAATAGGTGCCTGTAACGAGGAGCCTGACACGGAGGGATCCATTTGCAGTATATTTAATAGACACAGTTCAATCACAATTATACAATACGCATTTGCATGTGAACTCACATCAACAGTATTCAATAAGGGTCGAAGGGCTGGCGGCTGACAGTCACAGAGTGATATAACAGGCATGGATCAGTGGCAGGCGGCTTGGTTCAGAGTCTCAATATCAGGCGTGGGTCAAGGGCAGGCGGCGTGGTTCAGAGTCCAGATACAAGCAAGGTTCAGGACAGGCAGGAGGCACCTCAGAGTCAGTAACAGTCCAGGATAATACACGGGAGATCAGGCAAGGGAATAACGCTCAGAGATGTTAGCCATGGCAGAACAAGACTTCGCACTGAACTGGTGTGTGAGCGTGGCTTATATCAGGGAGCGTGGGTCGTTAGCGGGATTGGTCTCAGGTGTGTGCGCTATCAGTTTAAGTGGATCATGTAATGCTAAAAGTCTGGAGATGGTGGCCTCTGCTGGCCAGCCAGGGGAATGACTGGGACAGAATCAGTGACAGGTGCCCATTTTTTTTTTCATTATTTCTCTATTTTTTTTTTTTTTTTTTGCTGTCTCAGAAGTTTGTGTCTTTAAAAGTCAGCCAGCAAACACTCAGATAATCAGGTAATAATTCACAGAGAATAAAGAACCATATTTAAAATTGTTAAATATTTATTTAAATGTTAAATAACTGCTTTCTTATTGTATGCAGTTTTTAAAAAAAAGTATTACCCCAGTCATTATTGCTTTTATTACTATTAACATTATTATTAATAATAATAACAGCAACAACAAAAACAACAACAACAATTAATTCATAGATTGATTTCTAAAGGATCATGTGACTGAAGACTGGAGTAATGCAGCTGGAAAATTATCTTTAAAATCACTGTAATAAATGGTTAAATAAAATGATAAACTACTTTTGAACAGTTATTTTATAGTGCAATAACATTTCACAATTATACAATATGTACTGTATTATGATATAATAAATGCAGCTTTGGTGAGCAGGAGAAGCTTATTTTAAAACATTTAACAATCATACTGACCCCAAACTTTTGACCAGTTGTGTGTAAATATTTTATAAGCGAAAATGTGCACTTTAATTTTGATACCCACAGACCTCGTCACCAAATATAAATCAGAGAGGTCAGACTTTCTCATTCAGAGCCTCATTTCAGTAGTCAAGTTTTGTAAAAATCTATCTATTGAATTAATCAATCTATTAAAGAAATGTTGGCTAAAAATCTGCGTTTTAGGTTATAATAAAAGAGAGAAACAACAGGTGGACTGAGACTGCATCAGATCATGAAGCAAAGCAATGTTGATCTTTTTTTTGAGCTGTCAGTGCAGAACAAAACAACAGGCCTAATACAACATATTATAATATTAAAATAAAATAATATAAGTTATCAGATGGTAACTTTGGTCAATTTTCCTTACGGATAAACAGCTCTCAGTAATATTTCAGCATGTTTTCACTTTCGAACAGCAGTATTAGACAAGAAATGCACATTTGTCAGTAGGAATGACACCCTGTCCTCTCTTCATATAGCTGTATATTTGGCTATTGCACAATCATAATACGCTGTGATATAGCCTGGGTCGTTAGTTTGTTGGATTGTTTTGTTTTCTCACCACAATCGGTCCGCTCAGTCGAGCAGAGACCATCTCATTTAGGCGATCTCGGACCAATTGATTTGGTGCAGATCCGAGCGATTGCTGGATACACAAATGCCAAACAAACCGCGCTAACAGGGGAAACGAGACAGATTCCAAAACAAATGTCTGTGTGTGAAAGGTCCAAAGGTCAATTGACAGACAGTCGCTGCCAAGGTAAACTTTTGTGACAAGGCAACACTGGCCCGAACATCTCTCCTTACTGTCGAGCCCTGACATATATAAAATCAAATCACTTTTATTGTCACAAATATCAGCAGCACGTGTGTTATGATGAGTGAAAAGCTGCACATCTTCATAAAAGAGGCCGATGTAGATGGTTCATCCCAATTGTCACTTGACTTCTTTAAAGTGCCAGTTTCTAACCTGGTGCCCATGTTGATGTCTATAGTAAGCAAATAAAAAAAAAATTACGAATGTACTAACGTTATCACTTAGCTCCTAATGTGAATGGGCGGGGCTAATGTGACAGACGTAGAACAGCGAGATTTCTATTCTGAGGTTGTAAACTACAATTTGTAATGTGATTTTTTTGTTTCTCTCTGAGTGAATTCACTCAGAAATATGACAGGTGAAGTTTACCAAAAAATAAAAGATAACATTTTCCACCATAACAAACATTTTCTTGCGCACCCCTGGTGGTCAGACAGTTTAGGAACCGCTGATCTAGATTGAGAGAGTAGACTAGAATGTCATCAATGTAGGTGATTAAACATTTGCTCAGTGAATCATGAAGATTTCATTGATTAAAGATTGAAAGAGTGCAGTTTAGTTTGCTGGTACATAGGGCATGACAAGATACTCATAGGGTCAAATAGTGGTTGGGAAGGCAGTTTTCCACTCAACTATCTCACGGATTAGAATCAGGTTGTAAGCGCTCAAGAGATCAATTTTGGAGTAAGGTTATTATAGTGTTGGATTTTTCATTCTTTTCAGAATTTATTAAGTTTTGACCTTATATTTTTCAAAATAAGTTAGTTTTAACAGAGGTTGGTAGTAACGAGTTAAATTAACTAGTACTTTTTGAGTAAACCTAAATATACTTTTACACTTACTCAAGTAAATTATTTGAGAAAAATCAGTACTCATACTACACTACATTTAGTGGCTTTCCTCCATTACTGTCAAATAATAATAAAAATGATCCATATGACTTGTTTGCCAATATCGCAAGGCGCCGCATTGGGAAGGTTGTGAGGTTGCTTTATGGATGTGTCTCCTGCTTTCAGTTAGAGCACACGCGCCTATGTTGGAATAATGGCTGAAGTTTAGGAAGACGTGCGAGTTTATACTGCTGTCCCACCATGTCGCCATCTTCGGTTCCGAGAAGGACGGGAAAGCTATCTGTGCAGTGACTTTATCAGAACAGGGGCCTGTTCCAGTAAGGAGGTTCAAGCAACTCTGAGTTTAACTTGAACTCTGAGTTGAATTATAGAGAGATTAAAAACTCTTAAAAAAAAAGTTTACGGTTTCAGAACAGCTGATCAGCTGTGAGTTAGGTCAATCAACTTTGAGTAGAGCAACTCAGAGTTAAACGCACACAACCGCAACTAAAAGGCATTATCAATGGAGAGCAGAAATTACAAGTGACCATGGGAAAATCTGAAAAAAGGCATCAGCATTTCTTTCTCCAGCTGAACTTGATGTGCTCATGCTAAGTTGTAGCAAATATGACCATATATTTAAAAAAGCAAGACCTCTGTCTCAGTGAAACAGAGACCGTTAGTGTGGGAAAACATAGTTGCTCAAGTTAATGCTTAATTTTATATTTAAAGTATTTAAATGTTTAAGTAAAATAAAGTAAGTAAGTTAATGCTTGATGTTTATTAAATTTACACTTAAAAAAGTGGGGAATTGGCCTGAATTTTGAAATTATGTCAGATGTAATTGCATTAAATTACAAAACAATAGGCTACTGCAAAGTTTCTACAACAAATTTAAAACTGCATAGTTTATACAACAAAGCTGATCAGTTCAAATAGATTTAAAAGTGCACTTGTGTGTCTGCCTTTATTATTGATCAAGTGGTGGGGGTTGATATGACATTTAGAAAAGTAAAAAGAACTAAAAAAAATAGTTTTTAAATTGAGTAATAATCCCGTTAAT